AAGAGTGACTCGGGGAGAAAGAAGAAAAAAAATAAAATTGCAATACAATGTACAGGTCACGGTCCGCCTTCCCGTGTTGGCGTAACTTCAAAAAACACAATTTGGGTCTCGGATCATCTGTTATCCACCAAAGGAAGCAGCGGAGAGCCAGTCTGTATTCCCCAAGACTTAATTCAGCGACAAAAATATGCTATTAGTCCTTTACAGAAATGGTTTGAATATCACATAAAGACTATTTAAGAATATGCTATTAAAATTATTTGAGACTAAATTAAGATTGTACACTACGATATAAGATTTTTCACTGCTTACTATTTTCTTCATTTCTTTACCCGCTCTGTCTTTACCTTCATTTTCTCCTTTCCTACTCGTTTCCCTTTATCCCTTTCATCTTAATTCTCTTTCTCTTTCTTTCTCTCTCCATTAGCTTCTACTCCTTATCCCTGCTCCTTCTCTATTAATTTCTCTCATCATCCTTTATCCCTGTCAACCCCTCCATTCCCACATCCCTCTCCCTCCCCCCGGCCCCTTACCTACACGCACGTACATCATCCAGAGAGTAATTTCCCCTCGACATACACATATTAATTTCCGGCCTACTAACGCGCCTCCCTCGCCCGCCAGCAATCCTCGGTAGGCCTAGTGAAGTTGCTCTTAGTTCCGTTTCTAGTTTTCATGTCTTAGTAGGGGGGGGGGCGTATAACCACATTCCTCGGCTGGAATAAGTAGATTTAATTTGTATTGAAATCACTAATTTCACAAAAAGTAGCCGAAGTTTGGTTAGTCGTTACGGTTAGGACGCACTAATTTAGGGCAAACTGAATGTGATATTCTTGTGGAGGACAAAAAGTTACAGTCGTCGGTACAAAAAATAATTTGCAGACACGAACGGCAACGCCACAAATGTTCAGCTCTATCTTGCCGTGCATACAGAAATGGCGACAATGTTTCCCGGGGGGTGTTAGTGGGCAGAGCCCTCCATCAACCCTCCCCTCCGGACACGCCCAGTCACAGCAACTTAGACTGATGAATAAATTTTGTGACGTGGAGTTGGGAATATAAGTCTCTGACGAGTGTGTCCGTTCTGTAAAGAATTACCGCAGTCTAAACATACACATGTTTGTATATAAAAGTTCGTTTTGCATATCAAACAGACAGTCAAAAAGTATGCATATTCAACATTTCCGGCAGAGTGACAAACAATATATATGCCCCGCCCATCTTACATTTCACATTCAACCAACCAAACCAATGAGATCCCAGACATAGATATATACTGCAAAAGTCCTAAATCTATTACATATCTAAAAGAGACCAACAGACAGATCAGACGGACCGCAGATCATCTCCGTCCAACTGTACAGCAAATATACCGTATATCGCCACGGTCGCTGCTTTTCCCGACAGTTTTCGAGGAGGATATTCATATTAAGGAATCTAGGGGAGCGAACACCAGTGATTCGAAAATCCCAGTTGTTTCCTGTTAATTCCCTAGGCCCTCGTTTTCAAGAACAGGGCCAACCATCATGATGAGTAAAATCAAATCAAGATGTTAAATTCCCCTCAGATCTGGCGTTTTCCTCAGGCCTATACAATATCCAAACGCCTCTTCAGCAGCGACTGTGGATTCCTGAGGTACTTCCATTTATATTACGCATTCAACAGTAATGACAAACACACGATTAGCTCCTAATCATCATCTTCGTCTCCTTCACAATGGAAACTAGAGCAGGACAATCTGAAAAGTCCGTGAAGCGAACACCTGTAAATGCAATCAGAGGAGCGTCTTTGTACAGAAAAGCAACAAAGGGAAATCTTCACAATGTCATTTCTGCGTTACTCTCAGCTCTCTTGAGGAAATTAAACATCCTAATGCATTGCTAATTCCCTTTCATTTCCTTCCTAATGACGGTGTTCCGCTTTAGATGGAGGGAGGAAGAGCGAAAAAATCACCCAATTTTTTTCTCTGAGAAATGAAGAGCGAAAAGTGAAAAATAGAGAATAGAAAAAAGACCCATAGTTTTCAAATATTCCTTTCTCCTTCTTCCTAAGCAGGAGCATGCTCACACCTCACCTCCTCTGCCTTCTCATCTTGGCTCTCCTCCAACCGGTTCTCCTTCATTATGCTCCTTCAACCTACCACCGGTCCTTCCTTGTCTCCTTTCCCGCCTCCTTCGTTTATTTTCTTTCTCGCTCTATCTCCCTCGCCTGTGTCACGTCCTCGACTTCCTCCTCAACGAAGTACAAGATTCGGCGACGTGCTCTGCCGTCGCAGCTGTCATGAAAAACATCAGCTGTCTCTTTCTTGACGATCGACGGAACAAGCCTCAAACTGTCTGACATCCGGTTCTAGCAACTCCTAAAGTTGCGTCGTGTTCTGTCACTGAACTTCGAACGAGATGTCGAGAGGAAAGATCTGGAAATGGGCAACTTATTATCTAAGCCTACAGCAACTCTGAGCAGTTAATTCCGGAAATGACAATTCAGAATATCTCACGGGTATTAATCACTCTTTCTACGACAAGCACTCGCCGTACCTTGAATAAGGATAAACAGTTTTGACAGTCACAACCAGTCTGAAAATATATCCACTGCATGACATCATATAAAACTATTACGCAACTTTTATTCACTCACGTCCATACACACACACAGAATAGGGCACACCACACCACAAAACACAATGATGCATATAGTAACAGAGCAACACCTGATATTTTAAAGTCATTTAAAAGCTTGTTGCTATTCATTCTTGGCTATGTGAAATGTCAAGCTGAGACTACAAGGCAAACGTTTCGCTGCTCGTAAGAGGGACTGTGAACTCGTAATATAACGGTAGGTGGAATAAAGATCAGAAACTGATAACTTGTAGTTTTTATGGTTAGGATAGAGGCGGTTGGTAAGTCTGCGAGGAGAGAGGAAGGGAGAAAGAAAGCTATAAAAGCAGATAGATATACATATTGATAGATTGACAGTGATAGAAATTGGTAGAGAGAGGGAGGGGGAGAGGGAGAGATGGAGAGAGGGAGGGGGAGAGAGAAAGATGGAGAGAGGGAGGGGGAGAGGAAAGATGGAGAGAGGAGGGGGCGAGGGAGAGATGGAGAGAGGGGGAGATGGAATGATGGGGGAAGGGGGGGAGGGGGAGAGGATAGAAGGGTGGGAGAGTAAAGGAAGGAGGGAAGAGGGGGAGGGGGGGAGGGAGGGAGGGAGGGAGGGAGGGAGGGAGGGAGAGGGAGAGAGGCGAGGGAGGGGGGGCGAGGGAGAGAGAGAGAGGGGGGGCGTGGGAGGGAGAGAGAGAGAGCGTGGGAGGGGAGAGAGAGAGAGGGGGGGCGTGGAGGGAGAGAGGGAGAGAGAGAGAGAGAGAGGGGGGGCGAGGGAGAGAGGAGAGGAGAGGGAGGGAGAGAGGGAAAGAGGAAAGAGGGAAAGAGAGAAAGAGAGAAAGAGAGAGAGAGAGAGAGAGAGAGAGAGAGAGAGAGAGAGAGAGAGAGAGAGAGAGAGAGAGAGAGAGAGAGAGAGAGAGAGAGAGAGAGAGAGAGAGAGAGAGAGAGAGAGAGAGAGAGAGAGAGAGAGAGAGAGAGAGAGAGAGAGAGAGAGAGATGAAAGCGGGCCAGAGAGCGGGAGCTTACCCAGGGGGATTCAGACGAACAAGGGAAGTAGGCCTAAACGTTGCGGTTTTCGTTCACTAGTAACAAGTTGGTGTGCGAACAGGTCTGGTGCTGAATTAGGAGTCCCCAGATAAAATAGATAATGATAAAACTTTACCTGACTCAAAGGATTCCAAAAGCGAAACTAACGCGACTTCTAACAATTGGAATAATGTTCGTTATCTGAACCGCATTCAAGTTCCCGTAATTCTTTCTCTTACTTTTACATCTCAGCTCTCGTCTTAGTCGACGACATGTACAATCATTTGTGCACTATATTCTATAGCGGCGTGTACTAAAACTACATTTAGACTTGTAAAATATATAAACTTGCCGTGAGGGGAAGTTTTCCCTCCACAAACAGATCACCCAGCCCTAGGACGCTTTATCCCTCTCTTCGACCACCGAAAATCGCTCCCCCGCTCTCTCTGGGCAACAAAGTCATTTTCCATTTCATGAAACTGCTCAAGGTTCTTAAACACTTACGGACTGTAACGGTGCGAGGGTTGTGGCGCGCGACACAGTGCTCCAGCGAGCCAAGGCGCGAGGTGAGGGACACGGCGCGGCTGTTGATTTTGACTAGCTCCTCCTCGAGCCCTCGCGAGACGCCCTGCGCTGCCACCACAAGCGAAGCAAGCTGCTGCAGGGCGCCACACAGGGTCACATTGGCCACTGCTGTCAGGTCATATTCTCCTTGTAGGCTTACTTCTTCTCCAGCCTCCGTCACGCCCCAGGTGGAGGGCCGCCGCGAGAGCGACGCGGGTGAGATACGTCGCTTCACCAGCGGCATGCTGGTGGCTCCTTATCCAAACGATATTTTCTTACATATTACTCATTGTTGCAAATCAGACGAACCACTGACACTTGCACCTCGATTCACACGTGATATCAACACTCATCAGCCACTCACTGCTGCACGTCCTTTCAGAACGCCATCCTCGGCGCGACTGAAGGCTGTGCTCAGTCCGGGGCCTCGCCAACACCTGCTCCCACTCAACGAGCGTAATCGAACTTTACTATTTCGAAAACTATTCTCGTTATGCTGAAAATGTTTATGAAATAGTACTTCTCAAACATTTGATTTCATTATTAAGTATACTATGGATAGAATGTGTGTATTTTTAATCTTATAATTCGAATGGTTCATTGTTTATACAATGAATTTCTAAAAATATCTATAAAGGAAACTTGTATCAATTTCCGAGTTTTATGGATTATCAAATTAATTATAGTTTATCAAATAATTCCAAAAGTTACAATTAGATTCACATAAATTCAAAAGGTCGCACATAAAACATTTCATGCAGTTATCATACTTGTTAATAGTAATTCGGCAAAGTGGTTTCTCAGATTGACGAAAGGATTTAGTTCTGGAGGGCTCGGTTGTCTTCATGACTAAGTTGCTATTCATTTTCTTATAAATTGTAAACGTTGTGACCCTCGACAGCTATTGCTAAGGTAGGTAAGTTACTGACTGTTTCAGTAAGTTATATAACCAGTTAATGTTAATTGAAGGTTATCTTTGAAAGAAAAAGTAAACACTTGTGTTTAACGCTTGTTTTGCCTTAATTAAATTAGTTTACCATTTGACAAGCAGTATTGCCAGCCCTTGCTTTATTTTGGTGTAGTATCAGTTTCACACAATTTGATATAAGGTAAATTTTGACAGTAATGGAGGCAATATCAGTTTTCCATTGCAAATGATATAAATGGAAATATTGGTTGGGGGTATAGTGGCTGAATCCCAGATAAGGAAATACGGTACAGGTAAAATCCCTGCCAGCCATCTTTTAAATGAAAAATAATATATGCAAATGATAGAGGAAGTGATTCTAAGAAACTTATCTTCTATGTACTTCAACTGTGAAAAGCACTGCTGCACCAGACCACACATGCCTCTTGCAGTAAATTTACATCGGATAACAATCAGGATTTGACTGAAAAACACGTATGGAATGGCAACCTTGACGTAAGGTGAGACACTTTTCATCTATGGCATATTTTTTTTTTTTTTTTTTTTTTTAAGAAAGAAGGGTGGAAACTGATTTACTGATTTAAAGTTATTAACGCTAGTGGGGCAGGCTGTCGATACGAGTATAGGTCCTTAGCTTCAAATTAGCCATTTCTTGTTAATTTTATTTTTGATAATAAAGAAGGTATTTTGTGATAATTACCACTAAATGTTTTGTTTAAAATCTGTAACATAACTTTTGTTGACTTTATAGGCATTTAGAGATATTGATACTTTATTTAAATGAATTACAGACAATAGTTTTTAATTGCACCCTGGAAAACCCAGAGATACATGAAGAAAAGGATGTTCTAGGTCAGGTTATCGCTGGCTCCCTTCAGCCCCCACGTTTCCCATCAAAGTGACATGATTTGGCTCAGATAGCCACATTTACGGCCAGACCAGAGTGTATACAAGGCCAGTTGAACCGTGCCTTTAGGAAGGTTTTCGGTTTGTATATTGGAGGGAAAATTTTTAGTAGCCTGAGTAGTAGGGAATAAGGCATTTTAAGAATGGAATTTTCTTGCCTAGAATCTCATGACTTTCTTGCTATCTCAAGAATTTTACCTGCTTTCTCAAGGTACCTCCATAAATGGCTAGACTTTTGCTTACTAATTCAAGAGTTGTACTATCGGCATGGCAACAGTGTTGCTCGGTTACCATAGTGGTTACAAGCCTTCGAAAGTGAGCGGAATGTGGAATGTTATACATTGCGTACTGATAGTGAAGGCATCCTGGAGAATGTGTATTAGTCATTTCATTCTCTGAATATTTTATCTATTACTAGGAGATCTCTTAAGTCTTTTTCAATTTTTAATAACTTCTTGTTCTTTTTCCTGTTACTGTGGTGAATTCTGTTATTAACTGTTATTATTATTTTAGTATTATTATTACCATTATTGTTATTAAAATTGTCATCATCATCATTATCAACATCAGCAGCAGCATTATTATGATAATTATGAAATTGATGATAATATAATATTGATAATGACAGTGGCATAAGAATAATAGCAAAAATAATGATAATAGTATTATTGATAATATTAGCAATAACAATAGTAAATATGATAATGATAATGATAGTAATGATAATAATGATTAAGATGGTAATAATAATAATAATAATGATAATAATAATAATATATTATTATATTATATTATTATTTTTATTATTATTATTATTATTATTAATAGGAATAGTAATTATTATTATCATTTTTATCATTTAATAATGATAATGATAGTAATAATAATAATAATAATAATAATAATAATAATAATAATAATAATAATAATGATATTAATAGTAATTATTATTATCATTTTTATCTCCATTTTGTTATTTGTGATAGTATCTCATATTATTTGAAAAATAATATGCCATCCAACAGTTCTTAAAGGCAGAAAACATTTTTCAAAATATTAATAACATTCTTCTGTTGATATTATATTCAGTGACTTATTTTCAACTTCATAAAATTGTATATGTGGAAGTGTGTATATCAGTGATAGCATTTTGTTTTAGTGATCAGAGTGACTGAGTTGCATATCGGAAGTGTGTGTCACTATTTTAGGGATCCCATATATGCAACTAGGGGAAAATATTATGCTTTGTAAAGATGTTAAGGTAGATATATTTATTTTAACACTTATTTTGGAAGATATACAAGTATAAGCATAAACATTTTCAGGTTTGATGCTTAGTAGTCTCTTATTAGGAATGCTTAGGCATTAGCGGTCGTTTCACACAGCGAATGTGAAGTTCTTAGTTTCAGAGCAAAAATTCTTGACCAACCAAACTCCTGCTTAAAATGCAATTAGGATCGGAGTGGTTTAGTCACGTCATAAACAATTACCAATTCTTTCACTAATATCATTTGTATTGAAAAAAACAAGAGATTTACGCTTATTACCCTGTGAATGATTAAAACAAGGAATAATAATTTCAAGGTAGAATGGCATATGTAAAACTAAAAATTTGCCTTTTTTCAAGGCCTTGAAAAATTGACCCAGAGCTTGAGAAAATGCAAAATTCAATGGAAGGCAAGTGTTCTTTATTGTTAGAATTCCTGGTTAATCTATATGGTATGGATGCACTAAATTAGGGTAAGTTGAAGATGAAATTCTTGTGGAGGACAAAAAGTTGTAATTGTTGATATAAGAAATAATCTGGAGACATGAATTGTAATGTCACAAATAAAAGAAAAAAATCACAGAGAATGCCACTACCAGCCCAAGTCCATTCAGCACTTCCAAGTTTCAGCTCTATCTTGCTATGCATACTGAGGTGGACAATGTTTGCTAAGGGATGTTGGGGAGTTGATCACCTTATCAACCCTCCCCTTAGGCACTGCCCTAATTACACACCTAGTCATGGCAACATAGATTGTTGAAAAAATTTTGTGATCCAGAGTTAGCAACGTAGTCTCAGGTGAGTGCCTCAGTACCGTAAAGACTTATCAAATTGGCAATGTACTCTATTGGAGAACTGCAACATTGTTATCGGAATAGAATATTTAAGATATGGTACAATCATTATAAAGAAAACAGTTATATGGAATGCTGATTTAGTGGATTTTGAGGTGGAATCTAGCAAAACTTGAAATTTGATAATGGCTGATCTGGTTGACACAAATGTTTATACTTGAATTTGAAATGATTATTTGCCATGCTGGCAACACTTATGAAGGATATTCTCAATTTTGATTTCAATTTCAGTTTCAAGATGTAAATTTGCTTTAATTTTACTGTATATGTAGTAAACTAAAGCTCGGCATATAGTTTTATTGTTTATGTGCTAAACTAAAGTTGCTCATGGCTAACAATAACAGAATTTGAATTTATTGGTTGCTTTTTAGGTTTACTGTGCAGATATAGTCAAACCTGCCTAAGCATCTACTTGTTCATAATGACTATCCAAATTTTCCCCATAGAAAATATTACTTTAAACAACCTTTATATAAAAAGCACCTGCTGAATACAACCAGCAGCTGTCCAAATTTTTTGCAAATAGGTATAAAAAATATTTACATATCAAACATATAACCATTAAAAATCTTTACATATCAACCACATAACCAATAAAAATCTTTTCATATCAAACACATAACTAGTGCTTGGGTGACCAACATTACTCAGTGGCTTCCATGCAGTACAACTACCTATTCATCCATGTCAAGCTAAGATTTCAGATCAGATAGTTGCTTCCTCTCTTTACATGGGCTGCATCGGTCATTGAAGAACATTACAAAGGACCATATCTCTCTCATTGTAATATAAATAAAATATGGATAATTACTGGCATAAATAATGTATAACTACAAATAGAATACTTGCTAGTGCAGGTGGGCCTGTATGTTCAGTTAATCTATCTTTGGTAAGTTTTTTTGTCTATAACAACATGACTCACAGGGGAAAAAATCCTCTTACAGTCTTATGTGGTAAAAAAGAGTCTGGTCTTTGTATTTTGTGCTAACATTTGGTTTTTGAGTTAACAACCAACCTCTCTCGAGAGTGATTTGATAAAAATTATTTACAGAATAGAGAGAGACAGACAGACAGACAGACAGACAACCCATACCATTTGACATATTTATTTTCATTTTTTTCTGGTAAAATTTGATTCTGCATGCTTGACATTTTTATAATGAATGTGGAATAGTCTATATATTTTTAAAATTATAGACTGGATTGGTCATTTAGCTTCATAACTCAAAATGGTTATTCTTTATTTGACATTCCCCAGTATTTAGCATAGATTATTTGCTATAGCTCTCCTTATTTGGCAAAATAACACAAAAACCCTAATTATTTCCAGGTACATGTTGCTCTACAATGGATTTAAAATCACTTCTTCAGAGTCATTTGAATAAGCAAGAAAAGAAGAAAACGGTAGATGCTGAAGGAGAGGATGCAAGTTCTGTAGAAAAAGATGAAGAAGTTGTTGATAAACTCTTTGAAAAATATTATTGTGAATGGAAAGGCACAGCAAAGCAAACAGGTACTCATACCAGTAGTTTTTCTATAATACCAAAGTTTTATCACAAATTGCCACCAGAGGATGATCAGTTGCTTCAAAAACTGCGTGAGGAGTCTAGAGCTGTCTTTCTTCAGAGGAGGAGCAGAGAACTACTAGATAATGATGAACTTAAGAATTTATGGATGCTCCTTGACAAACACCAGTCACCCCCAAACTTGGGTGGTGAAGAGCAGCTGATAAACTATGAAGATTTCTTAAAGGTTGCTGAACAAGCTGGGCCTAAATGCAAGCAGTATTTCCAACCCTCAACATTCTGTAAGCTTTTGCAGAATGATCCATATGGAAGAATATCCATCATGAATTTCTTCAATTATGTTATGAGAAAAGTATGGCTTCATCAGACAAGGATTGGCCTCTCCCTGTATGATGTTACAGGACAGGGTTATCTACGAGAATCAGACCTAGAAAATTACATCTTGGAATTGATTCCAACTCTACCACAGTTAGATGGCCTTGAAAAGTCTTTCCACTCTTTTTACGTCTGCACAGCTGTCAGGAAATTCTTCTTCTTCCTTGACCCAATGCACACTGGGCAGATTAAAATTCAAGATATCCTAGCATGTAGCTTCCTGGATGATCTTCTTGAACTTCGTGATGAAGAACTACCAAAAGATCAACAGCAGAATAATTGGTTCTCAGCTCCATCTGCCCTAAGGGTGTATGGTGTTTACCTCAATTTAGACAAAGATCACAATGGAATGTTGTCCAAGGAAGAACTCTCACGATATGGCATGGGAACCCTGACTCCTGTGTTCATTGACCGTGTCTTCCAGGAGTGCCTTACATATGATGGTGAGATGGACTACAAAACCTACCTGGACTTTGTTCTAGCTCTTGAAAACCAGAAGGAACCACAAGCTCTGCACTATTTCTTCAAAATTCTTGACATTGATGGAAAGGGATACCTAAATGTGTTTACTCTGAATTACTTTTTCCGATCCATACAAGAACAGATGCGGCAACACAACCAAGAACCAGTGAACTTTGAAGATGTGAAAGATGAAATATTTGATATGGTGAAGCCAGCAGATCCCTGTAAAATAACACTTCAGGATCTTATTAACTGTGGCCAAGGAGATGTTGTCAGCAGCATCTTAATTGATCTCAATGGGTTTTGGACTTATGAAAACAGAGAAGTTCTGGTTGCTGACAATAATGAGGAACCTGCCCAGGTATAAAAATCATATTAATATATCTAAGCATCATTTGTAAAAGTGATGGACATTTCTAAAATACTTTAACTTACATTTTAAAAAAGAACACTTTCCAGAGGATTTATATGTGCCTTTGAGACATTCCAATACCCAACCAAAATATATACAACATTTATATTTGTGCATTAACATGTTTATTGAAGATTTTTATTAGAGCCTATAGGTTTATCATAAATAAGAAAGCTTGGAATATATTTGTTGACATGAATGTGAAATGGACACTGCAGTTTTAATAAGCTTTTCATTAATATTAACACAATGAGTACAATCCCAGAATTAGAAATGATAGATATCAAAAGTTAAACAAAGTAAAGGAAATCAGCAAATGAAGTGAGCATATACAGAAAACCAAATACCACTTTGGTATGAAATAGAAATTCAACAAACAGTGCATCAGCCCAATATCTGTGAGTACTAAGATTTTATGGTTCATTATACAGGTACACCACCTATGTTTTGTCAAGTTAATGTCCAACTCATAGTTTCAGTCTTGCAGAATTACAAAGAGACACTTGAATTTGCATGACTGCCAGATTAGCTCACTAATTTTCTTCAAATAAAACATTCATTTTGTAAACCTTCTAAACAAGAAGGATAATATTCAATTTTTATATGGCATCTGTCTGTCCAAGAAATGGATAAAGGAGCAGTCTTGGTACCAACAGTGAAAGAACATCAGTGGTGTAGCTACTTATAGTTTATAGACATTATTTTGTTTAGCATAATGCATGATTAACTTAATGATTGTGACATTAAAAAATATGTTTGGTAAGTAGCTATTTCTCTATTAATAATGGTGATATTAAATGCTGTTGAACATTTATTATGTTTTCAGCAATTGTTGCACTGTGTACATAAAATAAGTAATCTATATAGATACAAGGTTAACTGTCTGTGTGAAAAAATATGTGTGTGTGTGTGTGTGTCTGTGTGTGTGTGTGTGTGTGTGTGTGTGTGTGTGTGTGTGTATGTGTGCGTGCGTGCATGCGTGCGTGTGCGTGATGCATGATGCATGTGTGTGTGTTCTTACCTTACCTAGTTGTTCTTACCTAGTTGTTTGAATACGGGAGAAGAGCTATGCTCAGGTGGTCCCGCTGCTATATTTAAATTATTGTATTTAAATTATCGTATCGCATCGTGTGTGTGTGTGTGTGTGTGTGTGTGTGTGTGTGTGTGTGTGTGTGTGTGTGTGTGTGTGTGTGTGTGTGTGTGTGTGTGTGTGTGTGTGTGTGTGTGTGTGTGTGTGTGTATGTGTATGTATGTATAATGTATATACACACATACACACACACAGTATATATATATATAGAGGTAGAGAGAGACAGAGAGAGAAAAAAAAGAAAGAAAGAAAGAGGTAGAGACAGAGACAGAGAAAGAGGTAGAGAGAGAGAGAGAGAGACATAGAGAGAGGAGAGGAGAGAGAGTGTATAGGGAGAGAGAGAGAGAGAAAGAGGTACAGAGAGAGAGGGAGAGGGAGAAAGAGAGAGAGAGAAAGAGGTACAGAGAGAGAGGGAGAGGGAGAAAGAGGTACAGAGAGAAAGAGGTAGAGAGGTAGCGAGAGAGAGAGAGAGAGAGGTAGTGAGAAAGAGAGGTAGGCGAGAGAGAGAGAGAGAGAGGTGGCGAGAGAGGGAGAGAGAGAGAGTGGTGAGAGAGAGGAGAGAGAGTGGTGGCGAGAGAGGGAGAGAGAGAGTGGTGGCGAGAGAGGGAGAGAGAGAGTGGTGGCGAGAGAGAGAGGGAGAGAGAGAGTGGTGGCGAGAGAGCCGAAGAGAGAGGGAGAGAGAGAGCGGTGGCGAGAGAGAGAGGGAGAGAGAGCGGTGGCGAGAGAGAGAGGAGAGAGAGAGAGTGGTGGCGAGAGTGATAGAGAGAGAGGTGGAGAGAGTGAGAGAGAGTGGAGAGAGTGAGAGAGAGAGAGGGAGAGAGAGAAGAGGTGGCGAGAGGGAGAGAGAGAGAGGTGGAGAGGTGAGAGAGAGAGAGAGAGAGAGTGGAGAGAGTGAGAGAGAGAGGAGAGAGAAGTGGAGAGAGTGAGAGAGAGAGAGAGAAGAGTGAGAGAGAGAGAGAGAGAGTGAGAGAGAGAGAGAGAGAGAGATGGAGAGGTGAGAGAGTGAGAGAGTGAGAGAGTGAGAGAGTGAGAGAGTGAGAGAGAGAGAGAGAGAGAGAGAGAGAGAGAGAGAAGAGAGAGAGAGAGAGAGAGAGAGAGAGAGAGAGAGAGAGAGAGAGAGAGAGAGGAGAGAGAGAGAGAGAGAGAGTGGAGAGAGTGAGAGAGTGAGAGAGAGAGAGAGAGAGAGAGAGAGAGAGAGAGAGAGAGAGAGGTGGAGAGAAGAGAAGAGAGAGGTGGAGAGGGAGAGAGAGAGAGGTGGAGGAGGAGAGAGAGAGAGAAGAGAAGAGAGTGGAGAGAGTGAGAGAGGAGAGAGAGAGAGGTGGAGAGAGTGAGAGAGTGAGAGAGAGAGTGGAGAGAGTGAGAGAGAGAGAGGGTGGAGAGAGTGGAGAGAGAGAGAGGGGTGGAGAGAGTGATAGAGAGAGAGAGGTGGGAGAGTGGAGAGAGAGAGAGAGGTGGAGAGAGTGGAGAGAGAGAGAGGTGGAGAGAGGAGAGAGACAGAGAGAGAGAGAGTGGAGAGAGTGATAAGAGAGAGAGAGAGGTGGAGAGAGTGATAGAGAGAGAGAGAGTGATAGAGAGAGAGAGAGGTAGTGAGTGATAGAGAGAGAGAGGTGGAGAGAGTGAGAGAGAGAGAGAGAGAGTGAGAGAGAGAGAGGTGGAGAGTGAGAGAGAGAGAGAGGTGGAGAGAGTGATAGAGAGAGAGAGAGAGTGGAGAGAGTGATAGAGAGAGAGAGAGGTGGAGAGAGTGATAGAGAGAGAGAGAGGTGGAGAGAGTGATAGAGAGAGAGAGAGAGGTGGAGAGAGTGATAGAGAGAGGTGGTGAGAGTGGATGAGAGAGAGAGAGAGAGAGAGAGAGAGTGAGAGGTGGGAGAGAGTGATAGAGAGAGAGAGAGAGAGGTGGAGAGAGAGAGAGAGAGAGAGAGAAGTGAGAGAGAGAGAGAGAGAGAAGAGAGAGAGAAGAGTGAGAGGTGGAGGAGAGAGGAGAGAGAGAGAGAGAGAGAGAGAGAGAGAGAGAGAGAGAGAGGAGAGAGAGAGAGAGAGAGAGAGAGAGAGAGAGAGAGAGAGAGAGAGAGAGAGAGAGAGAGAGAGAGAGAGAGAGAGAGAGGAGAGAGAGAGAGAGAGAGAGGTGGAGAGAGAGGAGGTGGAGAGAGAGAGAGAGAGAGTGGACGAGAGAGAGAGAGAGAGGTGGAGAGAGAGAGAGAGAGAGAGAGTGGAGAGAAGAGAGAGAGAGAGAGAGAGAGAGTGAGAGGTGGAGAGAGTGAGAGTGAGAGAGTGAGAGGTGGAGAGAGTGAGAGTGGAGAGAGAGAGAGTGAGAGAGTGAGAGAGTGAGAGAGAAGTGAGAGAGTGAGAGAGGTGGAGAGAGTTGGAGAGAGTGAGAGAGAGAGAGAGAGTGAGAGAGGTGGAGAGAGTGAGAGAGAGAGAGAGAGAGAGAGAGAGAGAGAGAGAGAGAGGAGAGAGAGAGAGAGAGAGAGAGAGAGAAAGAGTGAGAGAGAAAAGGAGAAGAGTAGAGAGAGAGTAAGAGAGAGAGGAGAGAGAGTAAGAGAGAGAAAAGGAGAGAGAGTAAGAGAGAGAAGGGGAGAGAAAGAGTGAGTGAGAGAGAGAAGGGGAGAGAAAGAGAGAGAGAAGGGGAGAGAAAGAGTGAGAGAGAGAAGGGGGGAGAGAGAGAGAGAAGAGAGAGAAGAGGAAAGAGAGAGTGAGAGAGAGAGATAGTGAGAAAGAGAGAAGGGGAGAGAGAGAGAGAGAGAGAGAGAATTTATTGCTTTTTTGGAGAATGTTACTAGAGCTACTAAGACTCAATTCAGGTTTTGAATTTAAATTTCATATGATAGTTTAAAAAAAAGTAAATAAGTGTTTTTTGGGGGTGTCTCTGGCCATTGGTTTTAAATATAGTTTTCTTTGTTTATATTCAGGCATTATGTCAAAGGTGAAGCTTATAACATTTATTGAATTGTAGCAGTATGCATTAGGCTTTTTACAGATTTACAGTACTTTCTTCCTCTTTTGTACATGTTTTAACACTTTTCATATATAATTTTCAATTATCCCCTAATACATTTAATGATGGTAGCAAGGCACATGAAATTCACATAGGAGTATATAGCCATGATTTTTAATTTTCAATTACATTTTCTTGTACCTGGAAAATTATTTGCTATTTACACAAGTATTAATTCATTTTTCATGATCTCTAAACTTTTTTGTGACTGACTAATTTAAGAGGGAAAAACATCTAATGTATGCTAATGTTGAAAAATTTTCAACCCACAGAATTATGACTTCACCCCCAGACCCAGTGTTTGTCCTTAGAGGAGCTAATGCTCCAGTCACATGTGTTACTTTCTTGGAATATACTGGACCAGGAAAGATACAAAGGATAGCTGCTGGAACACAGGAGGGACAGGTCTTCATATGGGATCTTAAGGTTAGACATTTTTATTTATATATGCATCTTGATGATGGTTCGTACAATTTGATTTTGTACTGACTGAATTTACATATTATATTTTAGTTTTTACTGTTAACTATATATAATTTTAGTACTCATTTACTTTCTTTATGAAGGATTGAATATTTTAAGTAATAATCTTTAAAGCAGAGAAATTCTTGTAAATTCAATATGAAATGAACAAAAGTGGACTGTTTATATTAACCCTTTGGATTCAGTTGCATCACGGAAATCATGAAGCTGAAAACCTGGGCAATGGGTTACGTAAGTGGACAATATCCTGGGCGTGCAGCGCATAAGGCAGGCACACACGAACACCCATGAGTGCTAAGAAAACTGTGCCTCCCTTTAGAAGAGTTATTTTGTGTAAATTTTTAAAGCTTTATCACCATTTTCCAACGTCCATATTTGTCTTTTGATTTGCTTTATCCAGATGGTAATTACTTATTTACCTTGCACAGACTCCATACCATCTCTCTGTGAAGTAAATAACTCAGTGCAAGAGAAAAAAAAAAATGGAACATTTGGTTATTTGTGTCATATATCTCATTTTTTTGTAATTTTCAATTTTACATAGTATAACCTGCACTGCCTGTCACAGCAGCCAGGAATACGGAGTGCAGCATGGAAATGGCATCCTCCTTGGAGCCAGTGCTCTTCCAGTCACTGCTTCCGCATGTTACATTCCCCCTTCTAAGCGCCAAATGAGTCAAATCACACTCCAAGAGGTTTATGCACTATTGGCGAGTCTTTTCCATCACCCTGGCCTTCGCTCATAATGGCAGTTCATGTCACCCAGGCTGCAGCCAATTTGCCTGGTTGACGGCATGTTACGTGACCTGCCGCTCGGCTCAAGTTTTTCTGTGACATGATCGCAATGTCATCCGGGTCCAATGGGTTAATATATAGTGAGATTTGTCAGATCTAACTTTTTCTTATACTTTTACCAGACAAGCAGTATTGTGTGCAAATGGTCAGGTCATCCAGGATCATCAATTGTATGGATACATAGTCTTGTTCCTGGAAAACTGTGGACACAAGGGAGGCATGACAACATCAAGTTATGGGACATCACTGCATTACCACCTGAAGCAGAATCTCAGTATCCTCTAGTTGATTACCTTGGTTTCAGTCAGTGCAGCTTGACTTGTTTACCAAATGGGAATAGCCTCCTAGCAGTACCTGGTCCAGACCAAGTAGGTGTCACTGTTTGGGATACCAAGACCAAGTACAAAATATGCTCTCTGGTTCCCCAGGATGCCAAGAGTCGAGGAAGTCTTATGCAGGTGGTCTGGTTGAACACTGAAGAGCACATTCAACCTCTTGTTGCCTATGAGAGTGGCCATATCAGTTTGTGGGACTGGAGCAACACTTCTGTTATCAGTGAGACTAGGGTGAATGACAATCCTATATGCCTTTCATTTCATACTGACTCTAAAACTGGAATAGTAGGCACTGCATCAGAAAAAGTATTTGTCTTTAAGATTGATGATAATTTGTCAATAACAATTGCCAAAGAGATTCAGATCACCAATCCTGGAGTATCATCATGCATCACACGTTCAGATGGAAAAATATTTGCTCTTGGAGGGTGGGATTCTCGCATCAGATTATTTTCCAGCAAGAAATGCAAGCCTCTAGCTGTACTACAATATCACAAGAAGACTGTAGAATGCCTTGCCTATTCCAAATGTAATGTAGAGCATTATGGATTTGGTTATATACTTGCAGCAGGTTCTTCTGACCATAGTATTTCCCTGTGGAACATCTTCAATACATAGAGTAACATGATCATTAATATGCATTACTTTATTTGAAAATTATTAGTAGATATTGAATAGATTATGAGGTCAAATCTTTTAAGAATGCATTGTCAAAAAAGTAAGATAGTTCAGGAACTTTATATATTTTGTTATTGTTTATGTTATACATCATTTTGATAGTATTGTATTTGTTTAATACATCTAAAATAATTACAATGCTGAAATGCTACCATAATATTATAACTCATGAACAAGGGATGAAATAAACTTGTAAATTAGATTTAAAAGTTTTACTATCCTATATGCATTTATACATGAAGATATGACAAATTGTACAATAGTAAAATCTCACACAGAGTTTTTTATTTTCAGTTTAAATTACTGACTTATTAGAATTCCAGACCACACTGTGATTACTATGACCAGCGAGTCCTCTTTCAAGCTTTTTGCCTTGTTGCAAACTTACATACATTCATTGACAAAATATCTGAAAATGTTATTTACAGTAATTTTTCATTAATTAGTTTTAGCATTATCTTCTTAGACTCTTCCACATCTTCTTTATCTTGGCCCACGAGTATCTTATTGACTTGATCCCCCCAGCAGTTAGAATTCCCTTCACACTCTGTGTTATGCTGGAAGTCTTCACTATATCCTGAATCCCTGTTATCATGGGGAAAGATTAAATGTTTATAATTTAAACTTTACATCATATTTGATTTAATTCATGTGAAGCAAAGAATACTAGGATTGCAGTTTAATAACAAATAGTTTTACTTACCAAGTTACTATACAGAAAATATTTACTTAAAAAATTAACTGTTTACCTTTAACAATGACATCACCAACATCTGGATCGTGAGCAGCAGCACGAAGAACGTCTTCCATGTCTCTACTTCTTCCATCCTTGTTCCACTCTTTTATCAAAAACAGCTGGCAATGAAGTATATTTTACTCTTTTTTTTTTTTTCTATAACAGTAACTGATGCTTTATAGCAAAACAGATGGTATTAGCCAAAGCAAACACGTAATTCCAGTTAAATGTTTGTTTTGTTTGAAAATAGTAATATCATTTTCCTTTATGAATCAGATTATATTCTACAACAAATAAATTAACTCTTGTATTTTTATACATTTTCTTCATACCTGAAGCTTTTTAGGAAGCATGGAGAGGTGGTGTAGCCTGGCAGGAGGGGAAGTGTCCTGCTCTCCCATGCCTTTAAATCTGTCGACTAGGGCATATTCTGAAAGGTCTTTTAAGATTGGTGTGTACAAAGTTTGAAACTCTTGTGTTTGTGCTCGAACAATATTGCGAACTTTATTCTGGTCTTCTCCAACTTGCATACGGAAGTCACCTGTGGAAAGTATAGATCTTAATTACATGTAAATTATATGATGGTAATGAGAATTTGTCTCAACTTTAGCATAATTAATTTTCAGAAAATATTTTTAAAGCAGAGAAATATGGCCATTCTTTAAAATGTTTTTCAATAAGTTCCATGAATCTGACAAAAGAATTAAAGTTGAACTAAACCGCAAGTTGTATAGATACAACAAGTTTATAAAAAATTTATTCACTGACCAGAGTATGATAGTCCTGCCAGTATTAAATAAAGTTGTTCTTCACTGAAAGTGTCTGGAAGCATCAGCAATGCAGTATGTAAGGCTGCATATAAGTTTATCTTCAGGGCATTGCGAAGTTCCTCTTCTTCAGGTGCTTTGATAGATTAAAGAATACTTAGCAAAAACAACTTTACACATTGTATGTATATCTCTTTGTCACTTGGTGACCACTACACATCATGACTATTTCAAAGTTCTCTCCCTGCAGATATGGGATATCCCCATGTTGGAAGGAAACACTGAGATCACCTTGGCATATTTAAAGGGTATCTGGCATTAAAGGGATACAGTGTAACACTGTATTGTGTAAAATTTTCATATATATTGTCATCTGGATCTAGAAATCTGTATGATATATAAAATGCAAGAAGCATAAATAGTCAACACCAGATACATAAAAATAGTGCAAGACCAAAAGAAAGAGTAAATGAAAAACTATATCTGTATCATATATCTTTTATAACTATTTCAATCTGTTTCTTGATTAGTTCTGCACTTGTATAATGAATCTTCTATTATCCAGATGCCATGGTAATTAATACAGTTATTTGTGTAAGGAATATGTTTAAGCCATTGACCATGGATATATGAATAGTCCACTGTATATTTTTTTGTGAATTTTATCACACTAATATTACTCCACAACTCCTCAGAAACCAATGAGTAAATTAATACAGCTACTGTTTCTTTTCTAATGCTTGTAATATCAGTGCTATAATAATTATTATTGACATTATGATTACTATAATATTATTAAATTACTTTTTTTTTTTTTTTTTTTTTTTTTTTTTTTTTTTTTTTTTTTTTTTTATCCTAAAAATCAAAGAAAAGAGTAAACATGTGTGACAGGTAGGGATGGTGACTGACTCTTTGCGGACTAAGCACTTTTGGAGTCATCTAGATGTAAAAACAACGAATGATATCGTCCCAAGATTATGTACTGTCCAATGTAGTTTTTTGTGAATTTTGTTGCACACAGAAGGTTCCAACAGCACTTAGCCAACAAGGAGTCAATCTGTAGGCTCGAGTGACCATCCCTGATTTCCCTATCCTTTGAGTTTGTGGGATTTGTTTTCCTTAATGCTATTAATATGGATATTGTTCTTATTATTGATGCAAAAATTATTTTGATGTTACTAAAGTATTAACAAAAATAAAAAATACAGAATAATAAAGAATCTTTCCAAATTCAAAGACAAAGGCAAGTAGGTCAGATAGGTGGAACTAATAATTGACTCCTTGATGACTAAGTACTTGTGGAGCTATCTCTGTGCAGACATAGTTAATAAACTAAAATTATGGTGAATATGGCATGTATTTTTGCCTACCTGGGCCAGTGGATTAACTAAAATCATGGTGGACATGGTATGTATTTCATGCCATCCCAGATTAAGAGATACCATATTTTTAAATGTCTTATGAAGAATGCTTGTTTACTTGCCATTCTATAAATAGTATAGATAACACAAAGTTTACAAGAATTTATCCTGCTTGAGACTTCTGTAGAAGATACACTGACAACCAACAGGCTTGACTGTTGCTTCAAGACACCAGTTCTGGATAATTGGAGGTTAACTGTCTATTACATTTTATGCCACAATTCTTTCTAATTAATATAATTTTTCAAGTATGTTTTGAAATAAAATATCTTGTTTTGTCAAAGATCGCATTTCTTGCACAAAGGACCTTTCCCCCTAGATTTTTATTTAAAAAAAAAATAATAATAATAACATCCACAAAACTAACACATAATATATAACCATTCTGCAAAAGAATATAATATTTTACAAAATAATTGCTGGATTAGAGCTTTATATGTTTTCATCTAATCGAAATAACAAGAAATCAACTGCTTTCCACATACTTTATACTCTAGAAAATAAGAAATACAACATACAAATAGTTTTACAACTCTCCATCCAACAAATGTATTTTCCCCTAAAAAGAAGGAAAGAAAAATTGAAGCATCTAAATACTACACTGTTTAGTCAACACAGATAACAACATACCTAGGTGTAGCATAAGAACAGGTTTGTGCAGCCGGCCAGCTACATACATGGTATCCCAATCGAGCAAGTCAGTGACTAAACTTTTGTGAGATATCACTCCATACTTAATCATCTGCAAATACATTGTAGAATACATACTATTATAAATAACTGATAGAGAAGAAAGGTGTACAAATAAATAAGTATCAAATTAATATCCAGTTTTTCTTGAGTGAGATTACAGAACTGTCAATGATTTTACTATAGTCCATGTAAACTTACTCCTTCATGAGTTGGCACAAGAGTATTGAAGTATACTTTGGCCCCCCAATTCTCCTGAACATTGGCCACAAAGTGATGTCCACCATATCGAAGAGCAGAGTAATGCTTTGGGTTGAGTACCATATTTGCTTTATGCCATTCTTGTGGATCTTTCACAGCCAGGATGAAATCCATCATGTTATC